CAGCTCCCTGTGCGCCGGAAGCCCTCCTTCCGGGAAACCCCGAGGCTGGGAGTGAGTTGTCGGTCCAAAGACCGGCGCTCTCCGCCCGAGGCTCCCCGTGCACTAGGGGCCCACCCTCAGGGACCCACCAGGCAGGAACTATACATTATAACTTTTTAAATTCTACAAAAGATGGAAGTACAGCAGCAGAAAGACTGTTCCATCAGGTAAAAGAAAAAGGGCTAGGAAAGGCCCTTTGGAGAGATCTCCATACTGGACAATGGAAGGGACCAAGTCTATTATTTACCTGGGGTGGAGGGGATGCTTATGTTTTTCCAGAGAATGCTGAGCAACCTATTTGGGTATCAGAGCATGATATCAGGCTGTATCATGAACTCAGATCTGGAGACGAAGTTGGTTCTACTTTTTGGGAAGATGGTGTGCAGTCCTGTGACAGTGATGCCTCAAAGACTACTCTACAGCCAATAGACAAGGATGAGGCTAAACCTGTCTTGGGGACAACAACAATAACAAAAATTGACCCAGAAGGTCCAGAAAATAGTAATCAAAATGGGAATTAAAGATCTGAATAGGTGATAGAGTATATGGAGATAAATGAGCTGAAAATTATCAGTATTTTTAAGACAGAATACAAAAAATATACATATTCATTATAGGTAAAGGATTGTATTCCATCCAAATTTTTTGATAAGAGATCTCTGCTATTTGACAAGCAATAAAATCTGACTAGTCTATTTATAGTTATAAATTTCAAAAAATTGTACTGGAGTTACATATAGTTCAATTTGGTCTAGAATATATTTGAGTGCACTCCGATTTCATAAGATGTTTGTTGGTATGTTCTGTGTACTTGTTTACATGTTTGTCATCTGTGAACAACTGTTCCCTTTTATTTGAGCTCAATAATTTTTCTCTTTTATCATTTGTTCATAACACAATTTGGAGCTGGGTGTGGTAGTGTATGCCTGTAATCCCAGCACTTGGGAGGCTGAGGCAGGAGGATCGTTGTGAGTTCAAAACCAGCCTGGGCTATAAAGGGAGTTCAAGGCCATTCTAAACTGCACAGCAAGACCTTGTCTCAAAAAGACACACACAAAAAAGATATTAACTACAATTCCTTAGGGTGAGGAGAAATTATTGGGCAGGACTCCAACTGGTGAACAGAGGAGTGGCCAACCTTTGTTCATTAATAAGAAGCCTCCAATGATCTCCAGCGTTTCTTGGCAGACATTCCCAATAATTTGGTCATAGTCAAAAGATAAAGTTTTCCACAAAAAATAAAACAAGGTTTTCTCATGAAAGATGCTCTTGGTACAAAACTAAATTAAGAAGTGAAGGTTTTCACATGTGTACGGTAATTCACTATTGTTAATCTTATGATGTAGTAAATGTATTCATGATTCCAGGTGTATAGGATTGCTTCTGATAAGACTTTTCATTCAGATTCAGACCTCTGCCTTTAACGAAAAAAACTTATGTATATCCCATTGAAGGATAACAAGTCAGGGAAAAGCTTCTTATGTATTAGATAGAGGTGACTGGTTAAAAGTGTTTTGTTTTTTTTTTTTTGTCTTTTTCAGACAGGGTCTCACTTTGCAGTTCAGGCTGGCCTTGAGCTCACTTTGTAGCCCAGGCTGGTTTTGAACTCACAACGATCCTCCTGCCTCAGCCTCCTGAGTGCTGGGATTACAGGTGTGTGCCACCACGCCTGGCAGAAAGGGTTATGTTATGTCAAAATGAAAATTTAAGTATGTTATAAAATGTCATCATGATTGTCATGCAGCAATGTTATGTATGGTTTTGATTTCTAGAATTCTGTGTAAAAATATGTAATTGTTAAAATTCTATAGGGATTGAAATATTTGGAGATCCATGATTGTTAAGAAAATAACAGTTTCATTTTATGTTCTAAGGTGTTTGATATTCAGATAGCAATATTAAGCTTACTACCTCTATTACAGGGTAATGTCATTAAGCTCCTCTTCCGGATGTTTAACAACAGAGGTTTGAAGACCAAAAATTAGAAAGATAAATGGGCTAAGGGAATAGCCAATATTTTGGCCCTAGCCCTCCGAGATCAGTGAGAACCCAGGACAGAAGAGAACTTCTGCTATGACATCCTATAACTCAGTCGGGTCTCTGATTTTCTGATCAAGGAGATTATGGAACCACAGAAGAAAGTGATTGTATGTTGTATAGTGTGCCTAAGGGGAGTCACCTGGAGAGAAAAGGTCTCTCAAGCTTTCACAGAAAGCAACTTGGTCAAGCAATGGCTGTGACTCATCCAGACGGCTGACACTAACTGAGGATCTAAGAGGTGCTGTACATGGCTCCAAGGTAATCCTGAGGAGACTTAACTGGCCTTGATTGTAAGAAAAGGTTGATTAATACAGGTCTCATCTTAACTTGGTCTTGAACATCCAGCAGAAAAGTGTAACCATAAGATGTATAAAAAACATTGCCATAGTAACATGTTAGCTGTAAAGGATTCGAATCACCAACAACTTTGGACAGTTGCCAGCTAGACCAGTAACTGACCACTGTTGTGGATATTTGGACTGTATTCTCCAAGCACAGCTTTTCCAGCTTCAATTAAATGCCCATCATTTACAAAACAGTGAAGAGAGATATGTTGGGAGTGGCTGAAGCTGGAAAGTAATTACACTTGCACGAGGAAGCCAGCCAGAGAACACAAGAGCTCCTCGAAGCATGTAAACAAGCCGTTGCAGCTTTTTAACTGATTGCTGAGTAGAGAGGCTGAAATTAGTATCAACCTCTTGAGGGTATAAATAAATACTGTACCCTACTTGGGCAGTTCCTCTCCTCAGTTTAAGAGAGGAAGGATCTCCACTTGACCCAGCTTTTCGTCTCTGTGTCTTCCTCATTCCCACTGCCATTCCTCCCTAGGGTACAGTGAGAGCCCAACGAGTGCCTACACAGTTTCCCAAAGTGTTGGGATTATAGGTGTGCACAGCCGCTCCCAGCCAATTTGGCTTTTTGACTTAATATATTTAGGGTTTATTTCGGTGGATTTAAATATCTCATTATTTGAATTGTTAGTATTAATTATTAATAGCTCATGGGGATATGGCTCAGGGTGAAGACCTGGGGTGCAATCCCTAGTACCAAAAACAGTAACAAATTCAGGACAGAATTCACTTGGGGTGCATGGTATTAGGGAGGGCAGAATGGAGCTGCAACTTGGTCACGTGTTCACTTGATTTCTTGGTGTCCTAGAAACTGAACCCAGGCTCCACTCATGCTAGCTAAGTGCGCTCCCTCTCAGCTGCTCTGCAGCCACTTTTATGTTTGAAAGTGTTATGTATATATAATTAACACACAATAAATGGTACATAATAAAGTTACAATTCCCTACATTTTGATAAAAGCTACGCCTATGAAACATCGCCACATCCAGATATTAAACAGAGTAGCAACCCAGAGCCATGGCAACCCAGAGCCATGCCTTTGGATGAAGGAAAGGGCCCGGGACATAGGCTAAAACAGGGAGTGAGTGGAGCGAGCCAAAGGCTGGCAGATTCAGAAACAAATGATGGTGAGGAGAATCAGGCTCCCAAGGAGCAGCCAAGAGGCATCGATCCCGTGGCTGAGGCCACCATGGCAGCCACATGCCGCCCCGAGAGGAGAGCGTCCGCTAGACACCAGCGGGCAGCCAGGCGCCACTCTGTGCTCAAGATGCGAGCTTTCCCGATCTTCTTGATGTTCATACTGTTTACCTGTTGCTGCTCAGCTGCTTTAAATTTGGACTTTCAGAATCAGTGTCCCCAAATGAAGTTATCCCATGGAATACTGATGTTAATGGCCAACCTCTGGAAAAACATCTTCTTGGGAAGCCCTCTTCAATTTTTTCTTTCCAACAACCTGCACTGTAAGGGAGAACCAAGAGGTAAAACCGGCTGCAAAACCTTACTGAAACTGAGTGTTTGCAACCGGCTGCTAAACCTTACTGAGACTGACTGTTTGAGATCCAAATGCTGTTTCTCATCATCTGGGACCAGGGCCTGCTTTGCCCCACTAATAGAAAAGCCTACACAAATGATCCGGATATTTGGGCTTGGTGTGGTCAGCTGCTCGTCCTAAGATGGCTGTCCATTCCTGCTCTCTTTGGCAGAGCAAATTTGCCCATCCTTTACTTATGAGAAGTGAAAGAATGTTGAAGGTAAGAAACAAAGAAACTGCAGGAGGGGCCTGAAGCATTAGGAACAACAGCGGAAGAAGAGGATGGTGATTGTGTTGGTTTGGGGGATATGTTGCAAGGCACAACAATATATAATATAGGACAAATATTTTATAGGCTTATTATAATAGGCCCAAAGAATAATATACAAGAGAGTGCAGGAAATCTGTCCACACACTATAGACCAAGAATCTAGCTGAGGGCCTGGATCCCACGGTAATGTCCTACATGAGCCCAGCTAAAGACCTAGAGCTCCCAACAGTGCCTCCCACAAACCCAAGTGGAGGCCCAGAGCCCACAACAATATGTCATGCAGGCCTGTTTCACGGATCTGCACTGCAAAAGCCCAAAGGTCAGTGGTGGAAGCTAGAAAGTCTGTGCCTGCAGGATGAAGGATCTGTGCTAGCAGGCTAAGGGATCTGCACTGGAGCCAGGAAGTAATGCGCAAAGTAAGAACCAGAGCTCCCTGGAAGGTACCACAGCCATCCTCAGCAACAGTGAGGTCCTGAGCTCCTCCGATGATCAAGATGGCTGAGTTCCCATCAGGAAAGCCAACGTAGGGCTGGGGATATAGCTCAGCGGCACAAGCACTTGCCTGGCAAGCATAAGGTCCTGAGAGTTCGATTCCCAGTACCAAAAAAAAAAAAAAAAAAAGAAAAGCCAATGCAGCAAACTTCTCTGGGGGACTGGCAGTGCACCATCTTCCCCTCTGGAGCCAGGAAGCAATGCACAAGGTGAGGACCAGAGCTCCCCCAAAGTGAACCAAAGCTATTCTCAGTGCCAACAAGGTCCCGAGCTCCTCAAAGGATGAAAACAGCCAAGTTCATCAGGAAATCCAGCATGACAAGCTCCTCCAACAGAACCAATAGCTCCTTTCAGCTTTTACCAGCTCTCAACAGCCTCTCAGCTCCCAACAGCCTGACTTCTTCTCCAGTTCTGCCTCTTATGCTGCTGGCCTTCCACACCCAGCACCACGTTTACCCAGTTCAGCTAAGGGTTATAAGTTCACCACCAGGCGTCAATCCACCACAGTGATGAATGTGAGAAGGAAGCCAATTGCTTTCCTGTGGAGTTGATGCAAACCTTCCAGAGCAGAGGAGACTGTGCCCTGGTCATCCAAGCCTGATAGCTCATTTT